ATTTAAAATTTTATTTATTATAATTAAATATCAATTATATATAAAAAATTTATATTTTGATATAAATTAATAAAAAATAAAAATAAAGATAAAATTTACCCCATAAAAAAATCTAACAAACATCCTTGTGCCGCTATTTGCAGGAACAGGGAGGAGAGAGACTCTTCAGTTTCGTGAGATCCGTTGCCACCCCTACCAGTGGAGCCGGCACCGGGGGAACAACATTACTTATGGTGGGTGGACAACTTCTGTTGTAAAAAGTATATTAGCACGCATAAATCCCTTTTTTTTTTTCTTCTTTATTTTTAATAAATTTATCTTAATTTTTTTAAATATTTTAAATATAAAATTTAAATATAAATTTTATGACATATAAATTTAAATGAATAAAGTAATAAAAAATTATTTTTTATTATATAATTTAAAATTAAAGTAAAAAAACTTCTGCAGCAACAAAATAGACAAAGGATTCGAGAGGTTATGTTAAATTTTGAGAGTTAAGGCATGGTTCCTTTTTTTTACTTTATTTCCTTTTTTTTTTTCAGATTTATAGTCAAATTTTACAACAAAAAAAAAAAGAAAAAAAGAAAGAAAGATATTACTGGGTATAGTGCTAAATCAGTAGGTTATGTTAACAGTGACAACCTTTTGTGACCACGGCAGATGGAATGTCATTGTCCGCGATGACTCATAATGTTTGTTTTTATTCATGGGCGACCCAATAATTCATGTCTCACGTTGAAAAAGGAGGAGTAGGGAGAGAATGACTGAATGAGACGATAATGATGTTAGAGAAACTATTTTCTATTGGGAAATTGAGTAGCAAACCGCGTATACTGTTTTAATGTATTCACCATTTTAAGTTATAATTTTGTGTTATAATAAGTCAGTAATTTAAATAATTTAATAATAATTTTTTATTAAACCTGATCCTTATAGTCAAATGGTTCTAATCACATTTGTAACTTGTAAGGTTTATACCACCTTCCTCCAGGACAACGATTCGAACCAACCTCATGACAAAATATTAAAAAAAATAATAATAATAATAATAATTTTTTATTAAAATAAAAATTTTAAATATAAATCTTGTGATATGTAATTTAGATGA